GACAGAAAGACAAGAAAGTTCGTTAAAAGCAGAAACGAATGCAAGACTTTTTCACCAACTGTTGTGGCTTGGAATACACACCCACTGCAAATCATTACTGTGCGCACATTTTGTGGAATTATTGTGAGGAAGGTCCTTCTAAAAGCCCCCCCCCGAAATGATTGATCCCGACACATTACACAACAGAACAGAAACAGAACAGTACTACACACACGTGTGCATACACACACACACATCAACACATGCTATCTACATACATACCTGTCCACACTAGCTGCTTTAAGCTGTGTGGACTTCAATTCCCAGAATTCCCCAGCCAACAAGGCTGGCTGGGGAATTCTGGGAGTTGAAGTCCACACGGCTTAAAGCGGCCAAGGTTGAGAAACACTGGTCTGTGCATACCCACAAACATGCATACACGCATACAATACATACACGTGTAATTCGCGCAGCCAAAGAGCTAACGGGTGGCTTTCAAGCGTTCCGCGTTTCGTGTTTAACAGGGACGATCAAGTCCCTAGTCCTCACCGCGTCCTCTGTACCCCCGCCACGTGGCCAGCTGCCGGTGGAAACAGCCTCGGCTCCGAGCGGGCAGGTCAAGCGAGCGAAAGGTGCAGATGCACGACAGCGCTCGGTTTTCGAACAGCCGAAAAGACCCGGGCGATGCCGCGCGGCCTCCTGGGGATCGTAGTCCAGCGCGGCCCGGTGGGACGGGCCCGGCAAAACGGCCTCGGCTCCAAGGTCGAGGAACGACAGCCGCGGCCAAGAGTCCCGCCCTCAACGCCGCTGGGGACTCACGCACCTGCGCGCCCCGCGCCCGGCCACAGCCAGCGCTCCTCCGCTTCAGATGGAGGCCGATTCAAGCTCCGGGCCGGCCACTACCTCCGCTCGCCATTCCTCCCGCGTCGTCCTTCGACTGCTCCGCCCCTATTGAGCACGTGACGTACCGCGCTCAACCGTCTTCTCCAGTTGCTCTCACGCCCCCTGGCGCTCAAGGCGCTCTCAAGTCAGAGCCCTTCCGGAGGCGTAGGCGGGGGGGGGATCAGCCAATCATTATCGGGCTGTAGACTAGAGAGGGCGGGAGTAAGAGGATGTGAGAGCGAGTATGGACTTCCTACTTGGTTAAAGTGACTTTCGGTCTTAGATTACCCTTAGTAAAATCTTCTCTGACCAGGGCAGCGAGGATGGAGATATCCGTAGAAATTAATAGAGAGCACGAAGATTGTACAACATCCTTTTCTACAGCTCTCAGGAAGAATAACGTCCTCTGAGAAACTACTATTTTATAAAACTTTTGTCCGCGATTGAAGAGTTCTACAACACCGGAACTTCTCTACTGTATTCGTAGATCTACTCCACCTCTTTGGGTTAAAGCATTCACTCTGCGCATGCGTACTAGGCCCCAACCAGCCGCCTTCTCCTCGTTTCTTCTTCTCTGGAGGACTGACGTCAGTCCTCCGGAGCCGAACGCTGGCCCGGCTCGAGGCCGACCTAAATGAGGGGAAGGCGCGGTGCACGCCGGGAACGCCGACGCCCAAGATGGCGGCAGGATTGAAAAGTTGTTGCCGGGGCGGCGGCGCCTCCTCGGGCTCGGCTTGAGCCTCCTGGGCTTCCGGGTGCGGCTATGGCGGCGCAGTGAAGGGAGAGGGGACCCGGGCGGGGAGATGCCTCCGGGCCCCGCCTGAGAC